GGCTAGACCCATATTTTATATACCAGTCAGCACTCAGTGTGTGATGGGGTCAGCATCCTGCCGGCTGCCTTTACTTGTCAGAAAAAAGGCCGCAGGTTTCAGGTCTCTGTAAACATTGTAGAGGGGAATGATGATTGGTTTATAAGTGACTCGCTATTGCTATAAGTATTTTCTTTTATGAAACGCAATGTCTATTTCTAAGTTAAGTAGCTACTTAGTTTCCGTAGCCATAATGCTGTCACGTGGTTAAATACGTAAAATTAAACATGTAGCCATTATTTTAGATCGGCGCTGTCGTCTCACTGTAACTTCACACATTTCTTTTAGTGTGATCGCTTTGGGCAGAAGCATTTCATGAATTGAGACGTCATCCCCATCTAGGTTTCAGGGCCCCCATTGTGGGGAAGGGGGAGACTCAGTGTCCATCAACAAGCATGTCGTAAGACATTAAGACTTCAAAGCTGGAGTGCACTGCCCGAGAGACAAGATACAATAAACAGCATGCATACAAATTAGCCAGATCTGTGAAATGGATGCGCAAGTAAAACTCTTAAGTCAAGTACTCAAACAAGAGTAAAGTCCAGAAGTGGACAAGCAACCAGAATTATCTTCCAGAGGTTACAGCTGGTACCCACAAAGACGACAAGACCTTGGGAAATAAGAGTGTCGCAAACTGGCTTAGATCCAAGGTGGTGGGGGGATAGACCAACTGTCAAATACTCCTCCCCCAGCCACCAACTGGACTCCACAACCCACATAAGGACATCAAACACTCAGTGGTGATATCAAATACAGACAGCAGTGACAACTGTTAAATAAACGGAGCATGGTTCCTTTTATATTTGTACATATTTTATTGGTATTTTGTACAGGCTTTTATTTCAGAAGGTTGACATGGACGACATATCCTGCCATGTGATGAGCGAAATCAGATGATCACACAGACAAAGAAATGAATTTGCAGGCTGAAAATCAACTGAAAAAGTGCATTAAAAAAAATATGATGTACCACCCACTGACAAAACCCTATACAAGCACATCATTAACAGTGTATGAATACAACTGCTTGAAATTCTTTAAATACACTTTCATAAAACAGAGGAGGAAATGCAATTACAACTGTCCATTTGTTAAATTCAGTATATCAGCTTGCCAGTCAATTAACCCCTGCTATACAAACACCATACACCAAATGTTCATTTTTACTCAAAATAATCTTTCTGTTTCATAACACTTTCTGTCCCAACAAGTTGTTCAATTCACTTGCTCATTCCTAGTTATTACTTTATATCATGCATTTCCTGCAATGACATCCAAGTGTGCGGGTTAACAAGCAGGTTGACAGATTGCTCATTCCTTATTTTTACTTTATAAAATTAATGTTCTCTCAAGATATCCAGGTGTGTGGGTTAATGAGCAGGCTGACAGATTGGCTGCTGCTCCTCTGCAAAGAAAGTTTTATGATAAATTGGACCAGTGCAATGGTAGTGACAGAGCATCCATAGCTCAAGAGACTGATACAGCTAGAAGTCAGCAGAGAGTCTGAAGTTTTTTGATGGGCAGGGGAAAAGACTTTTTAATCAGCTTGCAGCTGGCATCACCGGTAAGGGAACCCTTCACCTACTGAGGAAGGGGATTAGCATGTGGAGCTTTGCCATAAGTGCAGTGATGTCAATTCTTAATTTATTCACTCTATGTTTAATTTACTTTTCATAATACTTTCTGTCCCAAGTGGTTGTTTAATACCCCCAGTCTTTCCTGGTTAAGACTTGACTTTCTTGATTCCTACAGATGACACTTTATTTCATTATGTCGACACTTTATTTCATTATGTCGAACTGCTACTTTAACTCCATCGTATCTAAATGTAAAATTTTAAAGTAACAGGCTTCAGACAAAGAATGATCACATTAAAGCAGTCATAACTAGTTTAGTTGCTTCGTTAGTTGCTGTGGTATTTCAGGAACCATCCATACATTTCACTCTCATTCTGTCAGTACCAAACATATGTCTCTTGGTCAATCTAAAGATAATCTCATGTATTCGCTGTCTTCTATCACAGAAATTTGTTATAGTCACCTTTTTCTAATCAAGTGCATGATCTGAGCATCAAGGAGAATTGGCTTATAAACAGCAAGCTAAGCAAATCTGGCCATGTGTAACATCATGGTGCCCTGGGAAGAATGTTGATGGAGAGTTAAGTTTCTGGAAAACAAAGGCAGAGCTAACCTCCACAAATGTGCACACAAGACACTGAAGATGCATTAACTATGATTACACACAGGGCTGGAGAATTAGCCAGAGACTTTCAGGCAGGCCATGATGAAAGTGAAGTTCTGTAGAGGACCTGATGAATGATTTATCAACTTAAACACTTCTGTCACCTTGTGTGTGTCTGTAGAACTCTTTTCAAACCTATTTATTTATTACTTTTAAACTTCTTGGAACAGGAGTTAAAGTAATAACTGCTTAGGACGGCAATGGGTAATTTAAAACAATAAACACAATCTAAATATGGATGACAAAGAAAAAGTCCATGCTGACTGCTGCAACTAGGGAGAGAAAGGACAAGACCATGAATGAATTAAAAAAACAAAACAAATTTATCTGAATGTTTTCAATTCTGATTTCCCCAAAGACAAACTGATACAGCACTGTCAAGTTATGATAGCACATATGGAATTAGAGAAACATGATTTCTTACTGTACACACTGTAACAATTACAGCCATAAATTTATAAACAAACTTATCTATTAATTTCACTAATCCACAGTTTGAATCATTATTTTATTACACACATCTCATTGTCACAACCCTGGAAACATGGGAAACTGAAGTAAAATGTGTCAATGTTCTCATACACTACTGGCTCTGAGCAACAATCCAGGTCATGGACACTTATATATGGCTACCTAACACAGTAGATCCGTACAGATAAAATCATTCTTCTGTTTACATTTATAACCGAAAGAGAGACTGAAAACTGTCTCTTCTGAGCATTTGGCCGGCACTCAAACTCAAGTGAAAGTTGAGTTGGCTAGACAATCAGACTGTTATTGGTACCATCAGAATTGTAACTCTGTGCTTGCTGCTGAGGATTGGGACAGAGTGCTTATAGGAATGTCCCAAGTGCTGTGATGTTGATTCTTAATGCAACATTCTATTGATGATTCAAACCTTGCTGTCTGCTGAATGAGCCCAGCATTGTAACTGCTAGGCCAGCTCATCCACAAAGAAATATTTAGATGGAAAGGAAATGTGTTTAAATGAGTATTTCATGATATGCTAGTTATTATTTATAATGTGTTCAATATCAACATAGATAAAAGTGGAAGATAAAACAATAATTACAATTTTCTGCCGCAAAGTTTTCTGAAAAATTAACTTGCATCAAAATGTATAGCACATTGCCACTGATTATAGCAAAACAGAATGTGTGGCAGGGACAATTCTGTTTAATTTTTTGATCACTTTCAATTTAAAACAAATCTAACATAATAAAAAATATACTATTTTTTATCCTTCAGCACAATTAATTCTACTTTAAAAAATATCAATTAATTACATTCCAGTTTCTTACAGAAGCTGCACTAACCTTGGACATTTTCATCCTCAATGGGCCACACAGAATTCAAAACTACATTGTTGGAGACAGTAGAATTGTTAAGCTCTGTCTACTAACTAAGCCAAAATACATGTTCTATCTTTAGTAAAGCTTCTCTTTCAAGATGTCTAAGCAGACCGGCTAAAATATGTGTTCTATCTTTACTCAATTCTCATTCAGGATGACTCTTAAAAAAGCTATAACAAATTTTATGTCCTATTAATGTTTCAGACTTTAGACTCAAAGCAAAATGTTAACATAAAAGAAAATTAAAACAAAACAGGAGCAATATGAGGTAGGCAATGTTTTCAAGGCCCGTCCTCTATAAATCCCTAGCATCAAATCCTTGTGTCCAGTAAGAGGGAGCTCTGAGATTTATAAGAAGTTGGCAGCTTTTTTCAAGTTATGGAAATTTTAACAATATTTCTACTATTACCAACTCTTTAAAATAAAAAAGTTAAATTTTTTAACTACAAACAATATTTATTGTCATACACACACACATATATATAATTTTCATAATATAAGATTTCCTCAAAACTATTGTCCACTTATGGTGAGCAAATATAAATTGACCTTAGCAATGCAAATAGAATAGTCAGAATGAAATGCAGACATCAGATGCACACTGCAGAAGAGTACTTTCTGTCTCAGAATGAGAATATCAGATCACAGAAATCAAGACAAAAAGGTTTTCATGTCTTTTGAAAACAACAAGCAAACATGCACAAATAAGTATCCAGCTATCTTTATTCAACCATACAAATTAACAAATTATAGTCACTTCAGAACTTGAAAACAAAAACACAAAAAAACAGTGATTCTAAGGCAGGTACATCCACAACACATACACATAAAAACAAGGTATGTATGATGTGAGGGAGTCGCCATGGCGCAGCGGATAGACGCTCATGTGCGGATCGGAAGGTCGTGGGTTCGCTCCCTGGCGGAGCCGGACTTTTTATCAAAAAAGACCCCGACTTCCAGGTAGACCCAGCCTTGAGTGGGTGCAGTCCCGGAAAGTTAAGGCAGCCGGCGTGATGCTGACCACATCACTCATCTTGTGCTGATTGGTCTATAAAAATAGAGGTCTAGCCCTATACGCCTAAAGGAGTGGAAAAGGGACCTTTACTTTTACGCATGATGTAAGTGCAACCAATCCCTTCCTCCTTATCTTTTCTTTTTTTTTTAAAAACATCACTGATGCTAAAATGATGAGGTGAATTGACAACTCTGATTCTGTCACCAGTGGGGACAGAACCACAGAAAACAATGCTAGAAAGTGGGTTTCCTGACCACTTAGCTAACACAGCTCTTATATACAAATGTACACAACAAATAAATTCAATTCAATATTAAAATCTATACACAAGTTGATGACACAGTCAGCTGGTGCTAAGCTTTTGCCACCTCCGGCGTGTCTGTCTTGGATATTTGGAAAGTCAGCAAGTATTCTGGATAAGCCTGAAATTATAAAAACTCACAAATGTCATCATTAGAAATACTGACAAATCTCATAGGGTAGATTTGCAACAAAACATGAAAAATCTTGTTGTCCTTTACCAATTCCCTTGCCCCATGAGGTTTCATGTCCAATATTCTGCATCCATCTTTGTTTCAGTTAACCTCTGCTGCTCCTCCAAGGAACAATGCTACCAATCACTGTTCTTTCATTGTTGTTGTTTGTTTTAGTATCCAGAAGCCATGAGTTGTTAACCCTTAGGCTCGGTATTATGGATATCGCAACCTTTCGGCCTTGATTCCATTTTCACTGACAACATTACATTAAGGACCCTTTTCCACGCCTTCAGGCATATAGGGCTGCTGGATCAACAACAACAACTAGAATGTCTCTGCACTGGAACCAACAGGATCAGAAGAATAAAGGCAGATGAAAAATATGGAGAAAAGAACTACAGAGTGCAGCTAGACCTATACTGTTATAGACATATCAGCATTTGGTGGGTGATGTGGTCAGAATCACACCAGCCGCCTTTACTTCCCAGGACTGTGGTGCCCATTTACGACTGGGTCATCCTGACAGCCAAGGTCCTTTTTTTAAAAGTCTGGCTCTGTCAGGACCTGAACCTACAACCTTTCAATCCACAGGCGAGTGCCTAGCTGCTACACCGCAACGGCTTCTTTCCAACCAACATTACAACAGTCAAAATTAGATCAAAAGGTGTGAGCTTTAGTTATGATGCAAAAGATGGAGGCCGTGATAATAAACTGCACATTAGGGCTATTCAACTAGCGGCCCCCGGGGCAAATCTGGCAGGAGGATCATTGCTGGTTTGTATTATATTAATGAACAGTCTATGCTGGAGCTCAGACCTCTGGCCCGCGGAGGGCTAGTAATGGGCTGTAGATCATTGCTGGTTGTATTGTATTAATGAACAGTCTATGCTGGAGCTCAGACCTCTGGCCCGCGGAGGGCTAGTAATGGGCTGTAGATCATTGCTGGTTGTATTGTATTAATGATCTGTCTACACTGAGGTTCAGACCTCTGGCCCACGGAGGGCTAGTAATAGACGGTAGATCATTGCTGGTTGTATTGTATTAATGATCTGTCTATGATGAGGCTTGGACCTCTGGCCCACGGAGGGCTAGTAATAGACGGTAGATCATTGCCGGTAGTGTTGTATTAATGATCTGTCAATGATGGGGTTCGGACCTCTGGCTCACGGAGGGCTAGTAATAGACGGCAAATCATTGCCGGTTGTATTGTATTAATGATCTGTCTACGCTGGAGCTCAGACCTCTGGCCCGCGGAGGGCAAGTAATGGACTGTGGATCATTACCGGTTGTATTGTATTAATGATCTGTCTATGATGGGGCTCGGACCTTTGGCCCGCGGAGGGCTAGTAATGGGCTGTAGATCGTTGCCGATTGTATTGTATTAATGATCTTTCTATACTGAGGCTCAGACCTCTGGCCTGCGGAGGGCTAGTAATAGACGGTGGATCATTGCCGCTTGTATTGCATTAATGATCTCTCTACGCTGGGGTTTGGACCTCTTTCCCACGGAGGGCCTGTAATAGAGGACTAACTACACTTCATGCCGTCCAACTAATTGTAATCATGAAGTAACTCAAATTCCACTAATGAGTGAAGAGAGAAGAGATGTAAAATGTTTATTAAAATATACGAAAATGCTTTCAAAACTTAGAAAATGAGTTAATTCACACCACATATGGTGATTAGTTGGTCAAAGACAGCACAAAGAAACACACCAACCCAGCAAATGAAATACACAACAAATGAACACATATTAAACAGAGCCAAGACAGAGATTCTCCAAACAGGCATTGAAATGGGCAACAAATGGACTGAGGAAATGAAAATGTCCAAGACAAACTTTAAGAAAAATGTTGATAAGGCAGGCTGATGGTGCGGAACTGGATTTCATCCATGATTCTGAAAAGACTACACAGAAAAGAACTGGAAGAACAGACTGCCAGCCCTATGTGATGTATAAATGGCACAACAGGATGATCATGGCATATGAGATCAAAGACACCAAAAGTACAAGTAGCTTTAAAACATTATCAATAAGAAAATTAGAATACAAAAGAGTTACCACTGACACAGCGCTTGTTGGTCCAAAGTAACACATCACAATGACTAACCCCCCCCCCCCCCCCCCCCTCTCCCTTTTTTTTGGGTTCACCACTGCAGATTAAAATCTGAATATCTGAGTTTGTTTGTTGAATATAAAAATGTTTTTGGGTGTTTACCTATTGTTGACATTTAAAATTTTCACAAGATTGTGGATTCGGCTTTTATTACAATTAAATTACAGCTCCCCATGTGGGTTGCAGGGCCCCACTGTGGGGAAAACCAGAACAGACCCCCGGCCTCCCCAACAAGATTGTCGTAGGAGTAAACGTTTTGGGGGTTTCTTTTAAACTCATCAAAGTGCGTATGCCTGACACAGAAATCAGTCACAATATTTAAAACCTCTGTGCACACAACACTCAGGTTTTGGAACAAGACTAGGGTCCAGAGGTGGACAAACAACCAAAGCATTCCGCCAGAGTTTACAGCTGGTGAACGCGAAGAAGAGAATTTAAATAAAAAATACTGACCATAGTAAGAGAAAGTTAAAAAAAAAAAAAAAAACAGTGATAATACTATACATGAAAAAAAATAATCTAACATTATCATCATCATCATCATGTGCCCTGCCGGTAAGTGTAGGTTGTCATGTTTCAACATCTCATACAATCGTCAGAATCACAGAGCAGTTCAATGTTTTTGTCTTACCCCATGCATCTGGCCAGGCCATTCAGGTATTTATCTCTTTGTCTTAAGCCAAGTTCTCAAGTCCATTCCTTCTCAAAAAATGTCAACAACAAAAAATATTGACTATCTATGTGTAATTGTTCTAATAAGTTCACGACTTTCATCAGTCTCAATGAAGACTGCTTCATTTGTTTTCCAACATTATAACTAAGAATGTTAGCTTAGATACCTGTTCTCCTCGATAAACCACATATTCAGCATAATTGAGTCCTCCTGTGCTGGGTCGTCCTATGACTGAATGATGACCAGGTGGTGCATGGGCCATCTTCATGGCAGAAAACTGAAGGAATGACTTGCCAAGGGTCACTCGACACAATAGCAATTGTCTGGGAAATAAAAAAACAAATTTCATATTTAACTTTTACAAATTCATAGCATCAATCTTAGAACTGTTTGCATCATAATCAGTGGTTACAAGCAATCATAATCAGTGGTTACAAGCAATCATAATCAGTGGTTACAAGCAATCATAATCAGTGGTTACAAGCAATCATAATCAGTGGTTACAAGCAATCATAATCAGTGGTTTCAAGCAATCATAATCAGTGGTTACAAGCATCTAAAACCTAAAGTATGATACCAAAGTAACTAGAATGTCTCACTCCCTAGAGTGCCAACTATGTAACTACTTCTACTAATACCTAAAGTATGATACCAAAGTAACTAGAATGTCTCACTCCCTAGAGTGCCAACTATGTAACTACTCCTACTAATACCTAAAGTATGATACCAAAGTAACTAGAATGTCTCACTCCCTAGAGTGCCAGCTATGTAACTACTCCTACTAATACCTAAAGTATGATACCAAAGTAACTAGAATGTCTCACTCCCCAGAGTGCCAGCTATGTAACTACTCCTACTAATACCTAAAGTATGATACCAAAGTAACTAGAATGTCTCACTCCCCAGAGTGCCAGCTATGTAACTACTCCTACGAAACTGTTGACCATCATCTCTCTGAGTGTCCAAAACTCAGCGAGACTAGAAGAATGCTACTCCCTCCGAGATCAGACAAGTGGAACACCTTGTACGGAGGAAAAGAACAGCTTGTGAAAACATGCAAATTCCACTACATGGCACTGAGCCAAAGAGCGAAGGCTCATGCGCTGCAGAATCAACAACAACAACTAGAATGTCTCTGCACTCGAACCAACAGGATCAAAAGAAAAAAGGCAGATGAAAAATATGGAGAAAAGAACTACAGAGTGCAGATAAAAAGACCGGAGAACATGTGAATGGCATGCAATAGCAAAGAATATAATGGTTGCACAGGATAACCTGGTGGGGGAATAAAGAGCAGAAGAAAAAAAGTCAATCCCCAAAAATCAATGGAAGAAACATTGTTAACCAAGGCTTAATCACAGCCAGTCATCATGTGCTGTGCTGAATCGCAATTTGGTTACATCCTTATATTGCCTCTACCCAGGTGTTAAACTTAAGTAGCAGCTTTCCAAATCTCACTGGTTTCTGAAGCTGCAGAAGACAAGGAGAGCTCTGCAATACAGTCCCCATGAAAATAGTACTACTTTTACGTAAATATTTTCTCCGTGTGGGTTCTGGGACACCCTTATGAAAAAGAATACATCCACAACTCCTTAACAAGCACGTCATATAAGGCAACTAATTAAGATTTTGATGAAGCTGGATTTTTTGGGCCAAAAGGCACAGATGTAAATTAAAAACAATGTGCCATTTTAAGGATAAAAGCAACAGAAAAAGTAAATGTTGCAATCAACAAGCAATCTACAACAGCAACAGTCCAGCGCAGACAGCCCAGTCGGACACAGCTCTCGCTCGCTCGCTCAAACCGCCCGTTCAGCCACATGTCTCTCGTTAGCTTGCTAACTATTCATTCGTAGCCTGATTATTGATAGCTAGATACTGGTCAGACTCGCTTGATATTCGGCTGAGTTTGGCTCGACTACGCTATCGGTTTTCGTCTGCGGGTGGGTTATTAGCGGCCCGGGAGCACATCAGTGTTGAGGAGCCAGTCATACCAGCCAGTTTATTGAACGATTGTCTAGAGAACTAAGGAGAAAGCACGCTTGGGTGTCCTTTTCAGGATACTCTAACAAGCCTTGCCGACTCCAAAGGGACCTAGCAATCAAACAGCAGCCCGATCAGAACAGCCTTTGCCAGCCACATCCACTATGGCCCGTTGCAAGAAGAACCCGATTCAGCGCCGTGACACCAGAGCTTCATCGGCTAACAAGGAGACTGCACCTGACGTCGCACCAGCCCCTACGGTGCAGACGATGCCAGCTTTGACTGTTGTCCCTATCGAGACGTCAGCCACACCTACCCAGACGCCGCCAGCTACCGATGAGGCCCCTGTCGAGGCAGCATCACAGCCAGAAGTCGCCCCTGTCGTGGCGCAGGAGCCCACCTACACCCGACCACTCAGGCAGCAACAACAGCAGCGACCGGGAACCCACAGCACCGAGATTCTGCAGTGTTCACGCTGTAACAAGGCGTGGCACACAGCCGCAGCATGCCGAAGCAGCCTTACATGCAGATACTGTGCTCAAGCCCACGATTTCAAAGAGTGCCCCCTAGCAAAGAAGGACCCGGACTTCAAGAAGCCCAACCCGAGCAGACGATGCTCAAACTGTGGAGGGGCCCACAGCGCGAGGTACCTGGGTTGTCCGTACCTCAAACAGATAAAGAGGGAGATGAATAATGCCGGACCTAGACAACATCAGAAGTACGTGGCACCCTGGCCAAGCAACACAGCAAGCCATTCCACCTGCCCAGAGAGGAAGGAGGTCACCACCAGAGACCATGAGATGGTGCGAGCCCTCACCGAGCTTAAAGCTGAACTACAGAAGGAGAGAGAAGCCGCCGCCGCTGAGAAAGCAGAAACCCATGAGCTGATCACCCTCATGCTGAGGGAAATCAAAGTACTGAAGGAGGTCAGCTCAGCCCAAGAAGCCCAACTAATCAAGAACAACAAACGCGATGCAGAAATCAAAGACAGCATCCACGCCCTCACCGAAAGTCTAAAAGTAGCCCAGGTGGAAGCAGAAAAGCACAGACAGGATGAAAGGCAGGAAAGAAAGAAGGAGATGGCGGAACTCAAGGAGGCTGGAGAAAGCACATACCTAGAAGTCACGAAATTAACCCAGCAGAAATCAGAGAAAGAAGCGGCGGTGCTAGAACTCAAGAAACTGCTAGCCTTACAGGACGAAAAAACAGCTGCGTATAACAAACCATCCAAGGCGAAATTACAGAATCGCGCAAAATCATTCAGGAGCTCAACCAAGTTCAAGAAAAACTCTCCAACGAAACAGAAAACATCGGTAAAATTGTGGCTTCAGTCTACCATGAACCTGAAAACAAAGATGAATCCGACCAAGAAGCAGACCAATCAGAATCCGACGAGGAAAGCGTAGAAGAACAGCCCGCCGAATCAGAACGATCCACGGACCGAAGCAGCGATACGGAAACGACCCTAGCCGCAGATGAGGCCACAGCCCAGCCAGAAACAAAAGAAATAATAGTCCCCAAGGATATAAGCGAAGACGACCTTAGTGAAATTGTGCAAGCTTTCAACAAACAAGAAGATCTCCCGCACAAGCTCGAAATCGAAAACGGCAGCTACATTATCAAGTATGACCGGGAAATATGGAATAGTGGCAGACTCGTATTCGACGAAGAAAGCAAGGCCTACATTCCAAAATTGAACAGGTTCTGGGAACAGGTGAACGATGCCCACGAACGAATAAAAGAAACAAAAAGGAGACAAAGGAGGCAGGGAACACCGAACAGGCGCCGATAGAACTAAGCCAGAATAACCGCTCAAACCCAACCCAGCAGACGTAACAGCCCGAACCGAGAAACCACAAAATCATCAGCCAGCCAGAACTGACCAAGCCGCCATGACACACCAAACCACGCTCACCGGACCGGAAAGCCCACTTGCCAAAAACGAGCCAGGCATGATTGATCGACAGCCAGATCCACTCCCTCACAATGGCCTACCCCGGCTACGTAACCGTTCTTTTCAGAGCAGTTACCCCCCTCCCTGCCATGCCGAAAGACATTCTTCCGCCCGAACCACACCAGAACTAGCCCAATGCAGACAAGGAAAACAGCACCAAAAACGGAAACTCAGATGTGGCAACACATCACACAGAAGTATCAAGAATATACCACAAAGAAACCCGGCCGACCAGAAAACCAACACTCAGATAGGAGCCGGTTAAGCGTCGCCAAACTTTGGAATTTTTGTTCACTTTCTCAAGATCAAGATCAAATGTTGCAGCCTCTACAGCAGTGTTTCTATTTTGAGTTCATGATATTACTGACAAGAAACAATCAACTTTAAAATACATGATATTACTGACAAGAAACACTCAACTTTAGAATACATGATATTACTGACAAGAAACACTCAGCTTTAGAATACATGATATTACTGACAAGAAACACTCAGCTTTTGAATACATGATACTACTGACAAGAAACACTCAACTTTAGAATACATGATATTACTGACAAAAGACACTCAGCTTTAGAATACATGATATTACTGACAAGAAACACTCAGCTTTAGAATACATGATATTACTGACAAGAAACACTGAGCTTTAGAATACATGATATTACTGACAAGAGACACTCATCTTTAGAATACATGATATTACTGACAAGAAAAACTCAGCTTTAGAATACATGTTAATACTTACAAGAGACACTCACTGTTAGAAAACATGATATTACTGACAAGAAACACCCAACTTTAGAATACATGATATTACTGACAAGAAACACTCAACTTTAGAATACATGATATTACTGACAAGAAACACTCAACTTTAGAATACATGATATTACTGAAAAGAAACACCCAACTTTAGAATACATGATATTACTGACAAAAAACACTCAGCTTTTGAATACATGATATTACTGACAAGAAACACTCAGCTTTTGTTTACATGATATTACTGACAAGAAACACACCTTTAGAATAGATTATATTACTGACAAGAAACACTCAGCTTTTGAATACATTATATTACTGACAAGAAACCTCAGCTTTAGAATAGATGATATTACTGACAAGAAACACTCAGCTTTAGAATACATGATATTACTGACAAGAAACACTCAGCTTTTGAATACATGATACTACTGACAAGAAACACTCAAATTTAGAATACATGATATTACTGACAGAAGACACTCAGCTTTAGAATACATGATATTACTGACAAGAAACACTGAGCTTTAGAATACATGATATTACTGACAAGAGACACTCATCTTTAGAATACATGATATTACTGACAAGAAACACTCAGCTTTAGAATACATGATATTA